GCTAACTGGCTTATTTCTCTTGCCCATCTCCGTGAACCATAGAGTTTTCCAATTGAAGCTTGATAACTAGAATCACTATTAATGGCCGTCAAGACGATTACAAAATTGAAGACAAACGTATTATTTATAATTCTTTATTTATAATTATATTTATAATTCGTTCTAATGAAGTTCTAGTGATATCTTGTCTCGATACTTGCTACGCAGGTGCACTTATGGCTAGAATACGGTGATAGGTGTTGGCCATTTTATAAGGCTGTCTACGGTAGGCTCCCCATTCAAGCGTGATGCAAAGAAGATTCGGGGATGTTCCTCACACAGAACTCTTATATGAACATCAAGAAATCACGGTCATCTTATATATATATATATATATATGGAAACACTTGCTATATTATAAAATAATTTACTTTTATTCCATGTCTGAATCATCATGAAAGGGCGCCCCTTATTGCCATAGTCATATTCTGCTTCAAAGAAGACATAAAAAGGAAATTAAATATAGATTTGATTCTTAAAGCTTGTAGTACTGTCGTTATATATGTAGATATTGGCATTTTATTACATTCTTTAGATTTAAGAAATCTTGTACTGATGATTACCTTAATTAGAATTCCCAGTCAGATATATATGATGGCCTGAAAGCTGAGTGATCTAGATGTTATTATCACACAGAGAGGTTGATTACATTTTTAATTTAAACTCATTGAGCTTCTCGAAGTCAGGCAACGTTGGATACTCCACCAATGTACATATCATTCGTATTAATTAATAAATTATTTATACCTAGCATTTATTTATTTTCAATTATTTGATTTTATACAGAAAGGAAGGCGACACACTTTGGCAATGTGAAGCAGAAAACATCAGCGAAACATCACTAATTTCACGTCAAGTTAGTAATCAATCAAACCTCATTTATTCATCTTTGCTGCTAACAGTAAAAAAAGCTAATGTATACAGATTTTTGCTTTACTTTCTAAGATTGATCTTGAAGCCAACAGCAACGTAGACCCTAGGACAGGAGGAGCGAGTCCGCTAAAAGATACATGACGTGATAGTCCCATGTTCTTCTGAAAAAAAACTTTGACGAAATCTATTTGTTCGAGGCTCTTCACTGTAAGGTCTTCCCAAAGGACGAATATCCCATATATTACGATCGAACCTACCTTGAGGACAAACAATCAGAAAGCAGTTGTGAGGGATAGGCGATGAAGTGATATGATCGTCCGTGCGATTAACACTGGCTTCCTGCAGCTTTCGGCGATATGCAGAAGGGAACTTCTGTCTTCCGCGGAATGGATATGGGTAAGAGGCAACTCAGCAAAGAACTAAATGTCAGCGGCCGCTGTCCTGCCTTCTCCTGTAGACTTTATCCGTGAATAACTTTACGGTTAGTTTCATATCTGCAACTGCAGTATATAAGCTTATACACTTGGAACCTACCTAAGTCAGCCACATACAAAATTATTTTCACCGATTTCATCGGTGTTTTTTGTTTGATCAGGAAGGCCTTTCAGTAAAATGTGAAATAAGAGTAGGGACTTAAATTGTCCCTCTGAGCCAAACCAGTTGACTATGCGAAAGGCAGAAGCTCGGGCCTCTTTGTTGCCTATGATTCTGTTGTCCTGTAGGATCGCAGCGGCAGGCTTGTGCATATTCCTGGTAACGTTCGTCATAAGTATATCGATAGTCAAACTTCCGGCTACTGCTAGAAAGATCGGTGTAGAAGTAATTCATACGCTTACGTAACATTATGTATATGCTAGTTTAGACCTGCCCAAAACAAAATGAACTTACCTGCATTTTTTATAGTTACGGTGTATCTTTTTCTGGCTTTACCATTCTATGGCATTTTATTGTCGTACAAACCAGCTACATTAGGTTATCTTTACCGTATTTCCGGTTTGCTTTTATGGCTTACACCAGAGGAATATTAAGTAAGTAATTGTTTATACTGGTAAAGTTAGCAAGTCGAATATAGCTTTACAGAAATGTATGTATATCAGTGTCAATGATAATTCTAAAAGTATGCATACCAGGCACGGCGTATTAGTCGTTTCAGTAGACTAAAGGACAAGAATCTCTCAATGGGCCTGAACACTGCTTGTCTACATCGCTGAACTGTTATAAGGGATTCAATTTCCGTTATCGATACATAACTTGGTTTTCGGAAGTTTTTTTTTCTGGTGAAATGTGTTTTTCTTATATTTTCAGCTAAACGCGCACGCCTACTTGAGGGTAAATTAGAATTGTTTTTCGTGCAAAGCTCGCTTAAGGGCTGGGCTACTTGTGGAATAGGTAGAAGCCTTTAAACCTTGCTCCACCTTTAACTTAGCTTTCTTTTTTTGCGCCGCAATATTGTAGCAACAGAAAACATCTTCGAATGCTTAGGCATTTGTAATGCAAAACATTTATCTTTAATTCATAAGCCTCCAGATCCTCAGAAACTCAACAGTTTCTCTTTGCGTCAATGATTTACGAAACGCGTATTAAAGGACTTCGGAACAAAGGAGCCAAAAGATTTGTCCCACGTCACCTACTCATATATGAAATATCAAATAAATTTAAAACACACTCTTCTAACTATGAAGACCATTCAATGACCACGTATTCGTATAGCATTCGTGTTAAGTCTGCTCATATTAACTAAGTCATGAAGCAAATAGAAACACAGACAAATTGCGCGGAGAATGTCCCAATGAAATAACTAAACGATCCAAGAGAGCTGGCCTTAAGCAAAGAAAGGACTCCGGTGAAGTACTGCTGCTGCTCCGTGTGCAAGCGGCAACAGAATAAGAACGATACCTTATTAGAGTCAGAAGAGCTCACACTCTTTTCGATCTTTGGAAACCATTCTTTGCCTTTTCTGGCTCCCATTTTTTTCATAAATTGCCAGTTACTCGACGAAACTTGTCTTCTTGTAGCATTTAAATAAAAGAGTGCTCCGCTAATAAAGACGACTCTACCTTAAAGGGAATTTACCTCCTTGGCTTGGGTCTGAAAAATAAACGAGCGAAGGAAGGCCCAAGGAAGTATTCACGAAACCACTGAGCGCTGTAAGGCCACTTAGCGACAATGGTGACGGTAGTAACCTTGACGGCATCTGTATGCATTCAGTGTTGTTTTTTCATTAGTTTGCTTTCAATAGGGAAACACAATTAATCCGTGGAGCAGGGCAGATAGCACGATTTAGGGTAATTCGAACGAGCAGAGACGTGCATTTTCCTAAATCACTTCTTAGCAAAATGAACATGAAGCAACACCAATTTCGATGCCTTATACTGCCCTCCAATGAAACGACAGAATTCCTGCTTTTAAGACACTGCTCATCAGAAAATAGTGGTTAGGGAATTGGAAAGGCTGCCAAATCAGAAATCCCATACATTTTTTGATGGATACTCTGTGATGAATTGAAAGAATATGTACGAACCGAGGAAGTCCCTGAAAATGGGTTTATTATAGTTAATAAAGTTCGTGATTAGTAGTTTCCGAATCAAGCGAACTAAGAATTTCTTATATTTCATATACTGGATAAAACGAGCTGGCTCGAGTTCGGCCGACGCATACTACACAATTCGTGTAAATACAAGGGGTTTTACTGGGTTCAACATGTGTATATTACCCTAAAAAGACCGCTCAGACCAAAAAACAAGTTCGACATTATTGTCGAATATTAAAACTAATGATACGTTATAGGAAAGGGAGAGGAAATATTTTAGTAGTCTTGGCAAATCTCGAAATTGCCATTAGAACTGGCTTGCTTAGTTTGTAAAAAAAGTAAAAATAACATTTCTAACTCAAGTTGGTTGAGTAAAGGGACTCTAAGCACCCAACGGCTTGGAACTCTTCACCCCACCTTCTTCTTCCCGTGTGTTTACGTTTACGATGTCAGTGGCGACGTCGTTTATCATAAGTGGATGCTTCCAAGATATTTTGTCTTTAGAAGTAGTCTTCTATTGAAAACCTGTAATACAGAGGAGAAAGGCACGCTAAACGCCGTATCATTCAATTGGGACACCGTAATGAATATTATACAATGCAGTGATGCCATGTTCAGACTCGCTGCTAGTATTTAATCCATTGTTCTATTGCGTTGCACTATTTTTACGGCTAGGAGCTCGAATAACCATGGCCTTACTCTGCCCGCTAGGAGATAAAAGTGAAACTAAAAAGCATGGCCTGATGGAGTTTAAAATTTGCATCATATATAAGGGCATTGCCGACAGACAGGACCTACAAGGGAATTTTGCCCGATAAAAATTACATTTACCAACTCTATAATTTGATATAATTTTTCGAACAGACATAATTATAGCTGATAATTTAAAGGTGAATCACAGCTTACTTAATTATTTGACCTGGTAGGTAATGCAGAGAACTATAGTTATATAATTTTTAAGTAACATCAGTGTTTTCTAAATGGTATTAGAAAAAGTTTCCTATGGTATTTGCTAGCTTTTTAAAGCAGCTATATATCGATATTAAAAACGAAAAAACAAGATGTCCTAAATATTACAATAAAGTATTCGAGACTTGGCTTGGAATCTCATAAAATCCTCAGAAGTTACTTAACTATATTTGTATTCTAGAGATAGCTACCATTCATAAGTTACTGCCGAGTTTTCACCCATGTTTGATCAAGTATAACTTTTTTCCAGGAGCACATTTTGAATGATTTGTTGTGTACTATTTTCGGCCACCTTCGCATTATGATTTCGCGGCTTCTCGGTTATTCTTGGCCGTTTGCATCTTGAGTCATGACTGTAAACAAAGAGGGCCGATCGACGCTTTCTTTGCTCGAAGTTGGTCCTATGCCAACGTAAGCTGCTCCAATAGCAATAGATAAACTCATAATGTAAAATACTAGAGTTCAGCGTATCTTTTGGCATACAGATAGATTCGACCGTCCTTTTCTGATATACCAAAATGTCTTCGGAACCCTTCAACCGGAAAAATGTGGCTAATAGCCCCCCGCCACGAGCTCATTAAAAGTCGCCTGGGGCATGGCTGATCTGTAAGCTTAGTTTCTTACAATGAACGTACCACTCTTAGACTACGCATTTGATACCTATTCGGTAGCCGGTTAAGGTTAATTTCAAGATCGGAAAGAAATACTTGGATAAAATATGGCTTAAATATAGATGCATGTATACTAATATTTATTATTTTCCAATAGAAAGTCAGGATGGTCTAGCGTTGCTTTTCTTTTCACGCTATATCGGCCGCGAGTTAGTGTTCTCAGCAGTACAATGTTTAATAATTTTTTGTGCTATCTAGCCTTTCTATATCAGTTACGTCTGTTGATCCTAATTTTTTTCCGGACAATATCACAGCGCTAATGGCAAACCATTATGTTTGTGCTGTCTGACTGATATCACACTCTCGTTCTGATCTTTAACGATATGAATCGACTGAGCGACGGAAAAGCGTTTAATCTCTAGTGTTATTCTTATATGGCATCTGAACTCGTTTTCATCAGCACGTTTCCAGCGATATCTAAATTAAGCGTGATAAAGCGTAATGAGGATATTTACGTAATTAGTATTTCATATAATGAAAATCTCTACTATTATTGTATTCGGATATTATACCCTTCTTTACGGATTATGTCTCATTGTAAGGTTGGTAAACATTTAAGCAATCCAGACCAGAGCTCTATTAAAAAGCCCACAATATCTAAAGCCCCATTTTGTGTCCAGAGGTTCCGTAATTTTTTTTATTTTCATTATTATTATTTTGAATGCCATCGCTACATGCAGCTTTGTTTTGTTTCATTATATATATGAGGCTAAATGTTGTTATGCTGACAGCTCAACGATGCGTGTATTACTAAAACAGTTTTATTAATTGCGTCTAGTGGATTTGGATCTCTATCTCCATGTTCAGCTTGTGTACAACCGGTGTCTTTTGTGTGTTTAAGTTTTTTTTCGTCCGACCAGAATTTGCCAGTTGTTTGTCATTATGAGTCCTTAATTTTGGCTAGTGAACTAGCACGCGGCGATCTAATCCTCGGTATCTTAAGCCTACCTCTGTGCGTCCTCACTAATCGGTCCTGTTGGCGCACCTCAGAGTTGCGACCCTACACCTGCTTTTTTCAAGCTGTTGGCTATTATTATTATTAACTGTTCGTTATTTACAGTTGTAATCCCTTACATTTTAATACGCCTAAGCGTTTGACGAATCATCTCCCCTACACGTGGAGGCCGTATTCTGCAGTAACGGTAACGATTACGACCGACAAGCAGACCAAACAGCCATAGGACGGATTGCAGGAACAATCGGAGTTCTTCAATTGATTGATAAGTAGAACGTGAATATCATTAACAACTGTGCCTGACTTCGGAGGAGGCTATGAAGAAGCCGAGTTTCGTTTGGACGGGCTGTTACTAGTGGGCGCCGGATGAGCCTGAGGTAGGCTATTTCGATTGAGATTAGCGTTGGCAATACTACTAGTCATAAGCAGAGCGTTGGGTGGGGTTTGCGCGACGTTTGAAGGTGAATTGTCCAATTTTGCAAGATTGTACATGGAGTACTCCGGGTCGAGAGACACGTCACGAACAATATCGAGGAAATCGGGCTTGAGTTTTTCGATGTCCCCACCGTTCGTGTAAACCTCAAGAATGATCAATCCTTCGCACCGGGGATTGCAAGGCTGTTTGTATGAATCAAGCTGGTAAGAATTCATATTCCAGATGAAACATCGCCTGCGTTTGAAGACAGCGAGACGCGTGGGGTCTCGCTGGGCCAGGTAGTTCGCATAGTCCCGATGATTGATGGTTCGCTTGATTTCGATCACCTGATCGTCAGGGCTATCCCGCTGTCTCTGCGTATATGTATACGACCAGTGGCCGTTCTGACCGCGCTTACGTAAACGCATCTGTAGTTTCTGAGGATCGGACGATATCAGATAGTCGTGAATTACCTAAGAATGAACAGAAAAGGCTGTCATATTACATTATGAGAAACAGAAACAAAGAGAATTTGTCAAACACACTGGCAGCTTAAAGGTGAGGTCGAGCACTGAGAAAGCAAAAGGCAAGCTAGAAGAGTCAGCAAGAGAAGTCAGAAGAGTTTCTGACAATTGTTTGGGTTGATGAAAAATCAAAAACGAATGCTATCTACCCGAAGATCCGAAGAGTCCAGGTATACAAATAGCGGTTAGATATAATCTAGAAATACACCTTTATATCAGGTAATAGTGCCACTGTCAGCATTCAGAAATAAACTAGTTTTGTAAAAATACCGTATGAACTAACATATGTTGCCAGTTGGATTTTTCTATAGATCTGCCGATAGTTGGCTACTCAAAAAGGTGATTTAAGTGAGCAATGAGCTATTTGGAGAGGATATCGTACCGAAATAGACTAAAGCTAATAAAACTATACAGGCAGCAAATATTACAGGAATACCACAATATAGCCAACAATGAAGAAATTCCGCTTCGTTGCTGGCACAACCGCGAAAACAGGCTTGCACGTCAACTATAGGAGATCTCAGCAGGGACTCATGCTTACTTCGAAATCCTGGAATGGCGGGAATACTTTTTCGTCCGGCATCGACTTCACTAAAAACTTTATCTTGCGCGAATTCTGCTGCAGTCGGGCATCAACAGGTATCCTGAGTTTCCGGCAAACGCACTCCAGGGCGCGCTTCATTTTTCCCTCAAAATCTGTGGAATTGTCGATTACCTGTCAAACGCAAAACGCAACGAAAAATAAAAGCCACCTCCTTTATCGAGTTCAGAGCTACAGAGACTAAAAACGCAATAAAGATATTTAGCCAGCTCAATTATTACACTATTACGCTTACCTCGCCAAAGAAAAATCCTGCGTGCGTGTTTGACCATTGTTGACTATCAAAAATAGGCGACAATGCTGTAAACTATTACAGGGTAAGCCTGTTTTTCCTTACCTCGATATAGGGGTGACCAACCCAAGCCTGGCTAGCCTTGTCGTCTCTTTCTCGAGCTTCTTCTAGGGTCTCCTTTCGGGTGCCGTGGCCCGCTGTTGTATAGTATTTTTCAGCGCCCTTCGCGGCCGATACGAGATGCAGGATTTGGTTGTACCTAAAAACAACCGTAACGTAAATTAGGTAAATCGACATAACGAGATAAGGTGCTTTATCCAACAAAACCCAAGTTAAAAACAAAATAACACTATCTGAATAGTCTCAATACATCTAAATCATGCTATTCACACCTGTTGTCACGAAGATCAACGTCATTTAATCCATGCTTTCTGATAATGCGATTCCAAGTTGCACGGTCAACAAATGCTGATGGGTCCATCGTGCCTGAAGCCAACGTTACCATACGACAATCAAAAAGTTCCTACGAAGGATGCTATTCTGTGTGATCGCTTTCGGTATCAGTGTCAATGCGTTGAACAAAGCCTTCGATTCAAGCCTTATTAAATGCTATAAAAAAAAAATCACTCTATCAGGATACGATTCTACTTGTAATAAATATGTTGCGCTTTTTAATGCTGTGAAATGAAAAATACGATATAAGAGAAAATAAGATACGTTTAAATAATATATTATTATATTATTAGTATGCCATATTTTACGTTAAAATTTACTTCAGGTCCGAGCCTGTGAATGGTCGAGAAGTTATAATGTAAGTACTTCAAAAAATTAGCCATTTTAATAAAGTACAGCGGCATGTGGGAACTCGCGCACAACCAAAAAACAAGAGCCTATTGACTGGCGCAGCGCCATTTTTAAAAACATGTACTTTATCATTTAGCTTCAAAAAAGGTAAAAACTTGAAAACTTGAAAAAAATTGAAGTTTCTAATGAGAAATGGACCCTCTATCGTGTAAAATTTTTCTGACGTCACCCACCTCGATCACAGATGACTATACAATTCTTGTTTCCCATATGTGCAAGCTCGAAGAAAGTTTTCTCTATTGCCATCATAGTTAATAATAAATTCTCCTAAAAAAGTTCAAAGAAAATAATGAAAGTTAGGTTAGTTCTAAACTTCATACTTTACACAAACGGAAAATACCTACCTTCAGCTTAAGAAGGTCCCTTAGTACTTCAATCACTAAGTTCAACACTTGTATTGATATTATCAATATTTAAAAAAGAAAAGTATCACCATTATTACATTTATATGATCAAACTAATAATTGATAATTAAGCAGGTAATAATCTTTTCTAACCAAACTCCTACAAAATAAGGTATTTTCAAGCGCATTTTGAAGATTGCAACACTAGTTTTATCTCATGATACCCTTCGCAATAAGTCTGTAAACATTTTTAATTCACTAGTTAAAGATCGTACCCCCTGGTGTCACCCCCTACGACAGACGGTTGCTGTAATTATTCTGCCACGTGAAATACACGTGGGTACTTTTCGATTCATAAACGAACCGCCTTGTTCAGCAATAATTATTTTACTGTAACCCCAATGTATTTCAATTTGAGCTTTTAGCATAACTTATTCATAAATATAAGCTAGTATGGGCTTAGGGCTAAAAAGTAACTTTGGACACTTCTTTTTCCTTTAATAACACGGTATCAATAATCTACCTGAAAGCTTTCGACTTGTTCGGCGTTGAGTTCTCCGAAATTCACCCCACCTCCTGTAACCATATAATTAATTGATGTAGTAACATCAAAAAACAAAAAGTCTACAGTTAATTTTAAACGCGTGACGTAGATTCCTCAGCAGTTTCATCAACCACCTGTATTCTGGCATCTAACCAAACGGTACTAATACAATCTAAATTCGTATCAAGAGATATTTACAAAAGTGAAAAGTCTGGCCTAACCCAAGATCAACATAATTGCGACAATGTTGCTAACATAATGAATCGTCACTTCCAATCAGAATTATGAGCCCAAGCCCTGTCAGCCGCCATGGCCTTGCTTACCTAGAAGGACGTTCGCAGTTTCTGGAACTCGATATACCTTCCAGCCATGCATTTCGAGCATGCTCGACAATCGTGCCTGCCCCGTCGTCTTACCACTGCACGGCCCTCCTGTGAGAACAAGCTTGAACACGACATGTTTGTTGGCCTCCTCGATCGACATCTCGCCAGAGACCCCGGCGAACTTCGGTGACGTATTGAGCGGTGGCCTGTATAAAAGGCGGACAGATAGGACACATTAAGCGCGATACACGGGTTATATGGCGGACAGGAAATTGGCACAACACGTGACTTAAATGCACTATTATACAACAATCCACAGCACTTCTGCGAATAAGAAACCCTCAGGATGGTTATTCCTTCAACAGACGTTCACTAACGGTAATCGCTGAGTGCTTGATCAATGCATTCTATATTACTAAAAGTTCGTAGCAGGTCATCTTTCGATCAGCTCATAGCACTGATTTCTCGACTCCTTCGTCGAAAGGTTGCACGCTAAACGCACATAGAACCGAGTATTCGCTCTTCCCTAATAACTAATAACACCACGGCGGCGGTAGGCGCCTGACTCACGGCGACTCTTTGCTTCCGCTATTATGTTGTAACGCGGTGTTTATGGGTGCGTGTTTACGACTTATGTCCCAATATGCTCCTCTCTCGTCGTGCGTGTTCAGGCTCTGCTGGTGCTGCCACTGCCGTTGACGCCGCAGTTGCTGTGGTTCCCACCCGGAATATGAAACTGATTATGACGGGCAGTTCGCGCTGGTACAAATTTATGGGTTGGTTATACCTCGACGCGCGAACGACTTCTGTTTTCAACAGCAAGAGCGATTGCAGCCTAGCGGACCCCACTACGACGTGTCGACGTAGTTGCGCCTTTTCGAACTATACTACAAGAACCATTAATACACAAACCCTACACACAAGCGGCACGATGTCCCTTCGAACGCCTATGTTCCTTTCTCTGAACCAAAATGTCCGTCTATCTAGTTCGAACGGCAGCGACTATCGGTTGGCGGCACCCGCAAATAGGTGAAGGGCGACCAAAATATGGTTTTGCATAGACTCACGTTAAATATCATAGCTTGAGCGGAGACTATATAGTATTGCTGGGCCTACATGCCCACCATTAACATCAGCATCTGTGGACGCTGGCAGATACTCCGAGCCGATCCGACCGGGTGGGCAAGTTGACTGGCCGGCCGACGACGATAACAACAAGAAGCGAGGGAAGGTAGCTCATCTCGTACTCGCAGCGCCGAGTAAAGGCCAGCGTAATGCCACAGGCCACCAACACCGCCAGCGCAGACCGCACAGCAGACTCTGAACCTGGGGAGACAGAGGGCGGGCGGATGAACACATACACACATACAGACACATATATATAAACGCCACACTAGCATTAGTTGTCACTATGTACCATGTCTGCGTCTAAGTAGTTGATCATCCATCTGCTGATAGTGGTGGAACAACATTCACCATCAAATTTATTTACGCTCTCGCGCGGTTGTCACTCAAACGCACGCACGCATACGTCGCGTACCAAGTCTCTATAGCCTCCCTCCCGGCGAGTCGTTACCGTTTTAAATCAAGAGTAACGCGAGGAAGTCTGATTCCGTACACATGACCACGCCACTTCTGCTACAACTATAGGACTATGTTCATAAGAAGTACATTGAGCGGGCCCTTTCCAATAAGATCGCCGCCGCTAGGTGGGGAAAGTTTACCAATACGCGGCGCGGTCCTCCCAGACCGACCACGAGGTTGTTTTACCACAGAGGCGTGAAACCTACGCACTAATCCTCAGAATTCGGAAATCGAAAGAAGTTTAAGATTCTTATCCTAGGTGACGCACTTGGGGGCATTTTGGGACAGCTAGTGGAGGATTGCTTTACAGGTCTGTGTGGGCCGGCAAGAACGACGCAGAGAGAATGATAAACCTCAGATACTGGTAAGCTGCTGGATAGTTGAAGAACTAGGTAATTTGGAATAACTTTTAGCGTGCGGCATGGACAGTGACCCTCTATACAAATCTAATTGCCGAGCGACACAACTGCCACAAGTATTCCGCTTCGTCAGCAGAATACTAAGTTCTTTCCAGCAATACAACTATATATACTATATACATCTATATATTATATATATAACTATATACATCTGATTAAGGTACGAATGCTGACCAATGTGTTTTTAAATGTCCCAATTCAATTTTATGCATTAAGCAGTGCTCAAAATAGATATTGGTCAATAAATATGTCTTTATTAGAAAAGAATCACGTCTGTCGTTACCGTTCGACATCGGTAATAATCGTTAACGTCAGTGTCGCGCTCTGTAAAAAACATTACCGATTGTTGATAAAACAACAAACGCCTTTTCACAGTTCAATGATGTCAAAGTCACAGCAAATTGCACAGCTAGACTTAATCAGAACTGAATCTTCTGCTGGTATAATAGTGTTTCTTATAAAAACTGATCCGTTTATTGCTCCTGTATTAAACACAATAAGCACATCGGGTCTCTTTCTCGCCTTCAGTGTCCCTATATCATTCTCCTATTGACTTGTCTCCTATTGTCGTCGACGGTAGTTGTACCCTGCTTGTAAGTTCGCAAATGGCAGGTAAATGAGACAGTACTAACAAGAGATACAGTAACAGCTACCACTCGAGAACTTCTTAGCCGTTTAATGAAAGCGGTATTTGCTTGTTAATGGAGAGGTAGAACGTCATTTCAGTTAGTATCCGATCGATGCGGTGGGGTCTATCCAACGCAACTTGTACGATAATACTGCACGATAACATTAGTTGGACTATGCTTAGGAATCAAGGAACGGCACTTCGTTCGGCAAATTTGAAGCCGCTAGGAGTAAAATGGCACCTCAATTATGTTGTCACACCTGTGATGCTCGATTTTTTCTCTGACGTTTTTCTAAGCTCGAAAAAGGTTTTTCATACTACGAATCTAGGTAAAAAATCAACGTTTCGCATTTTAGCTTCGTCGAAAAATATCGTATTATTTAGAAAACACCTACGTATATTTGATCGACGTTATGCATTACTGAAAATGTATTTCAGATAATTCCAATAAGAGGAGACGTCTATGCTGAACTGGTACTCCAAAGCTAATCGCTTCTTTTTTTTTATTGAGGAAGCCATGAGGACTCCTTAGCACGAAACATTTTTTTTTATATCCACGTGCTTCCTGAATCCATATTATGCAAAAGATTTAGCTTGAATACATTTGCGAGCTTAACTTACATAACTTACCCCACAAAATTAGCGACTGGCCATGCCAAGTCAGCACAACGAACCTGTTCGTTACGTTAAACCTTGTAGCACTTAAATGAGCACGTATATTCAAGGAGCAAATTTTTACTTCATTTGAATAAAGTTACCGCGTTTAATACTAGCAGTGTACGTGGATGCCCAATCATTGCCCTATCCGTGGCTATTTTTTTGATAAGAGTGTCGAAATTCAGCAACTGCGCTCGAAATTGATGATGAATAAGTATCGCAGGACTATCGGCCTAGCGCACACAATAATTATGAATTAAATTTTTGTAATTAACTCAACGAATGTTCGTGTTACAGAAGCACAGACAGTATCAACGCTGTGATAACACGATATTTTGCGATCTCACTAATAAATTTGGGTCTCTAATTTTATTTCCAGCGTACAGACCCACTACGATTTTCTCGTGTGTACATCTGCTTATAAAGTCCCGGATAAGTAGACGAGGCCGAACGAGATCATGCTAGTGGCCAGTATTGTTCCTAAATGACTCTGTTCTTCATGTGATTAAATGATCACTGTTGAGTCTGCTAATCGAAATGTACGCGATACCCATTTTGAGTGATCGCGCTTCGTCCTGCCACTCCTTACGGCCACCATTCAGCTCAGTTACGTGAAATATTGATATCCGCAAGCTGATGCGTTTTGAACAGCTTGGAAAATTTAAGTTCTGCAGATTAAACGTCCAGACATTGTGTATAGCTAAATTCTTGTACACTGTACATGGTAAATTGTGTACAATGTGATTGGCATGAAGGAAATACGTGACGCTAGTCACCTATTAGTTAGGTAGCGGATAGACTATTAAGTAAAATCAACAGAATTAGCAAGCAGCAAAAAACGATATTGAAAAATAAAGTTAGGTTTCTTAAAATCATCCGCGGTGGATCTTTTCCGGTGGGTTTGACCAGCACCCGAGGACGAGTGTCGGCCAGGCCAAAACTCCATGTTTAATAGTTACTTTCGATCGACATTTCTCAATCGATAAATAGTGACCACGTGTCAAAACCCGAAAGCAGTCCCTTTTTTTTAAGATCGGCTAGTACCACTTTAGAGGACCATTTAAAAATAAGTTTAATTCATTACGTTTTTGGGCGTTGGCTATTCACTAGCGAATGCGTGTTTAAACAATGTTGCTATAGACGTATCTTGCTCGATTATTTCTCAATACATTGCACTTCAAAAAGCAAGTACAAATAAACTGCGGTTTCTAACCGAATGGTGCGAGCTGGTCAAGCGTACGCCGTTGGCGAGCAAGGACTCCTAATACCAACTTGCCATAGTTTCGTAACTGGGATAGCTTCCCTATCAACAAGCTCGACCAGTATTGTACCTCTTGTTTGTAACCTTTATATTTATAGGACAGAAGGTGCTGTCGCTTCGAACTGGGACGGCTTGCGTCAAATCCTGCAAATGATACGAATGTGGTACTAACACCACAACAACAAGAAAAGCCAAAGCTAACTGTCATTAAGGTCAAAACATATTTGAACTGATGATACCTCTATCACTTATTTAACAAGTAGGAGCATTTAATTATATGTTTACTTCGTATTTAATATAACGTCTAAGCGTCTGTAGAGTTCGTTAATTCTTGCAAATGGAAACCGATTCGGCAAGAAAATGGTGACATAGAAACATCAATAGGAACACAAGCGTCACAGATTTGCTTCTGGGAAAAAGGCTCTGCTTTCCCAGACGAGTGCGCGACAAGCTACTGTTTCCAACTGTCCTACACGAACTCCTGTACACAACGACACGTGTGTATTAGCCCCTGTGAGTTGCAGTTGGATCGGCTTCATCAACATCTCCTGTTTTTCTAAGCAAGATTCGTTTCGTACAGACGATGGAATCAACGACAGATTGAACTCGCACATGCTGTACAAAGCGGTACTATTGCTTTAACGACCTATCAAGATCAGCGGGAAGTTTTTGCTAGATTTTAAAAAATAACCAGCTCAAATTATTGTTGGAGGCAAAGCCTCTCGAGAATCTAGGACATCAGTGCTACGCCCGCCGTTACTACTTTCCCGTTCCATATTATATAATAGTAGTGTATGTACCTCATAGGCGTCGTTGCCAAGCGGCCTCGGCTAACCGTCGGCCTGATTGTAACAGCAAGGTGGAATAGATGGCTTGCTGAGTCATCTATGAAAGCATATGGTCTGGCAGCAAGCTGGCAATTACGCCACCTGCCTTAGCGTGCCTATTGCAATACATGTCCAAGCGAATTTAGGTGGAAGAACAATAGTGATTCTGTCCGTTCAGGAATCGTGCACGGAAACTCTGAATAAATCTAGGCGGTTCAATGTTTATATGGTGTCAGCATAGTTGACAATCGTACACGCATCCAGTAGGCACTTAATTGCTATACACGTAGTTCTTTGATGACAACCTAAGCAAGAGTTCCTAGCGGTCTACTCGTGCGTTACTTGAGACGCCCGAGCTGGCTCGCACGCCTAATATATATATATATATATATAGCTGTGGAATAGCGTTCTTGGGTATGTTTGCGTTACGCTGTAGGTAATACGATTAATCCTTTATGTTCAACATTCCGTCTAGTAATATTCTGCCTCGACGAATATCGCACGACAATTCAAACAAAAAGAAAACAATTCTCCCACCAAAATATGGATATAGCTGAAATCGCTTAGCCATACATGGTACCAGTGTCAAGCCAAAAGCTATCATACGCTCCACCATAATATTTTATCAGCTTCGAACCCGCGCTACAGACGAAATAATGTCAGTCATTTACGATTAGAAGTGTATACATTTTAGTATTAGGAAGAGATAGCACACGAGCTGTTTACTTACTTTGAGCCTGAAACGAGGAGTGGTCAGTTACTCAAGCGAACATAATTATTTGCTGCCCACGACTTACCGCAGTAATCGTTCTACAATAAAGGACAGTATATCTGCTACTGTTGGCTAAACATAGTCCTTACCAGCCATTGCAGCTGATACCTTTACTTCAGAGGGGTGAAGCTCGTCTGTGTCTGCTTGCTTGTGCAGTGCGGTTTTCTATACAAACACATCTAGCTCTTTTACCGATGGGAAAAGCTATTGGAAAGTCCAGTACGCACTAGAGCCGCAGTCTATTTGTTCCAACAGTAGTACTTACATGATGGTCGCTGATGCAGTCGTAGCTATGAGCACGAACAACGATAACTCGTTCCGTTCCGATCTCTGATCCGCTTGCCGGATGCAAACGCGCCACGGGAAACAACTCCTGATCCGAACACTCGACTGAAGTACTCCGGATGACCAAGTATATTACGGCGATTGTTCGGCAGCCGTCGCTAACGTGACGCAAATTGTTCTGATTAAGACAGAAAAATGATTTGTACAAGCGGCTTTTATTGAACGTCCGTTACCGATACTGCTGGGACTTCCGCGATTGAGTTTATAGCACTAGAGGGCCTATACAATCATAATGACAATACAATCAATACGATTGCATGCTAGCAAACCGAGTTGTACTCTAAACGGGTTACGCTTCCAGCAGCATATTGGAGACGATGGATGCAAAATTTGCTTTCTTTGCCCAGCTCGTGGCACGTTCCTACAACTACAAATCTGAGTAATTCGTCTACGTAAGAGAAGAGTCTAACCCATCTGTCGCTCTCTCACCAAAGCCATCTTACACTTTCAACCGAAACGAGAAGATCGTCAATCCGTCATCGGCTCATCAACCACAAACAGTACTTTCACGAATCGTAAAGCTATCACAAGAACTCCTTGCTTAAATCAACTACAAAGAAAAGCACGTATGTGGACAATACGAAACGGAAGACAGAAATCTATCAGATTAACATTACGACATGCCCTGATTCTAATCGTCGTGACAGGCGCACCGACAGGTCATGTACTAGTTTTCTGTTACAACTTCTTCAACTTAAAACTGTTACAACGACCACGAGATGTTCGTACGCAGCTTCGATCGACTTTGTGACGACCCGTTCGTTGTATCGCCCGAATCTCTTCTATCACTGAGCGACCAACTGTTGCCATCTAAAGAAATGGGTCCCCGCGAAAGCGATTTAGCTGATTTCTGCTGGTGCTCTTGCGGTACCTGCCCGACTGGTCCATGCGCATTCCGTTGAGAGTGGAACGAAGTGTTCGGATTTGCTTCTGATCTTCTTGCCTGATCTTCTATCTCTCCCGACCGCTGTATCCAAACGATATGTCCTGCGCTCCACCATCCGATAATCGGGTCGCCTCATTGTGGATTCAGCTGGCCGATTTAGCCCGATCGAACGCACTGAGGATGCTAAAATAAGCCAACATGCTGTGGACGACTTACCTGTACACGCTCTTCCTTTTTACGACGATGCTCGTATTTCTTCGACCACTGTTCATAATGTTGATGATGTTCTTGACGACGTATCATTGATGCGGCTGTCGTCGTCTTGTTGCTGCTGACTAGCAAATGTTCACGCTGTGAACCAGTACAATACTACCACCCTTACAGCCTGTGCTAGACAATTTATTCTATCCGACGGACGGCCAGAATGAGCCAGCGGCATCAAGCAAAATCACAGCCGTTCTTATTATCTAGAATGTCGTTGTTACTTCTTTCTGCGGCCTGATGATCTGCTACCTGCAGCCGTACTTACTGTTTGCCCGTCTGCAATCCAGTTGCGAACAGCTTCGGTCTCTCCGTGCAATCCGCTGTCGTCCAGTGTCCTCGTTTGCTCTTTATGTGCTTTACGTCGTCGAAACGCGTTCCGTGACCACTGTGCAGCTCGTGGTGAGGCTGGCACGCTTTTGATCAGCTTTTCTGTGCAGGCGCGACGGTCCTCGCTAGCAGCAGCAATTCTAGGAGGGCGTCCTATCATCGTAACTTGTTCGTGCTGTTATGGCTCACAACAGCAGAGATGGAATGGAGCGCTGAGAGAGGAGGAACCCACAGGGGTTGACTGGAAATACCAGCAGCTCAACAATATCTGAACGGTGTCGACGAATCGGCCCAGCTAACAGCTGACTGCCCGGCGCCGGCCGGCCTTCGTCCAACAGACGGGTGCGCGACAACGTATACGCCGCCTGCTGCTGCTGACGCAACCGCTACTGCCTCAATAAACAACCAATAAAAAGTTGACTCGGTAACGGGAGTTAGTGAAAAATACCAATGCTAGAGACAAAACCATTGCAATAGATATACTTATCTGTAACTGTGAACCATCAACATAGTCGAAGTAGCTCTATATTACAAAAAAGTTAATGAACAGTGAGTAAAGGCGAGCAGCAGAGGGTATCAAGGGGAAAAAAAGGAGAATCATAGCTATATATGAATAATGTGACCCGAAGCCCGCTTCAGACATAAACCTGCTTGGGACATAGGGGGACGTGGCTGCTTCGCTATCACTTACGAAGAGATTCCGAATACACGTAACTAGACCCATCGCAACATTCAGAACTACAGCGTTGAGCCTTTAATTTGGACTATCCGACCTTTAGAGCGCACTTTGGAAAAACATTAAGACGACTGCTATTCGATCATCACGACCGTTGTTAGTAAACCGATATATTCTTCGACTTTTATTTATAGATATAATACTAAACTTTCTCGCAAAATTTGAGAATCTAAACGATTATCGCTACCTATAGTTATTTTGAAATCTCTCACGATTGGTAGTCGTCTAAAGTGATCAGAGATAATGCAATGGCTGCGAAGTTACGAAGTAAAGTGCAGGTCAAACAAAAAGGGACAAAGGCGTGGCAGAGTCAACGTGTCAGTAGGATTTAGAACAACACCAAGTTAACAACGATTGCATAGACACGAGAGCAAAACTCTTTTAAATAACGAAGTCGTATACATACGATATGGAAACACTGAAAGCGGGTTTTTATACGAATAACAATAAATTTAATAGAGAACGTTACTTAAAGCCGGTATCTTGAAGCAACATAGAAAAGGTTTAGGGTGCACATTTCCACGTAGGAAACGTGATTTGTTCTCATAAAACCGTTCGAAACCTATTTCAGCGCAGATTCCCTTGAACATAACGGCTCGGAAAACAAAAAATGTACATTTCTGATTTTCTGAACAGAATAACAAATTACCAAATTTTTAAAACAAAACAAAGTATGCCGCACTTGTAATGAATCACGTACGATTTTATAGTCTATTTTTCTGTTCGCAAAAGGATCAGGTTGACGTGTTTGACCGTGAGGCGAAAGCCCGTCTATGTGAAGATGGAAAGTGAGTAATAATTTGGTCCTTTAAGTTAATCTGGGTTAAATGGAGTTAATTGAGGTCCTGAACAGGTTAGAGTTTGAAGTCAATTATTAATTACACTAAATTGGATTTCTACGATTGTATGTTAAGCAACAGTCGGCCGAATGGTAGTTAGAATGTTTAGACGTCCGTCTGAGTTCCACGAACCAAAATTCGCCATTCTTATAGGTGCGCAGCAATTTTTGGACGTCAATTAAACCTTCACCTGTTTTTTGTCTTCATACATATCTGACATGTTTAATGTCAGAATTTTTTTAGGGTAGAAGCTTTTGCACGAAAATAACACTGATCACTTTGACCAGTTCAGCAAAATAATGAATGATAAAAATCAATAACGGTCCAAAACTTTGAGATACATAGAATTGGTTAAATTAAAAAAAAAAAAAAAAAAGATTAAAAAAGAACTCGTATGATAACTCCAATAAGACTGAACCACTTTATACATGACAGACTTCTCAAGGTGACCTAAATCGGGTGTTTCCAGCTAGTCTTACTATAGAGCCAAAACTCTAAGCATTAACTAACAGCGGCTAATTACCACAATCGTTACTGATCTGCGAACCCTTTTTCTCGTTCCTTTTCGGAAAAGACGCGGTTCAGACGCACGTAACACTGAAATAAATTTTACCACTTCAATATAATGGAAGCTTTATCTTCGGCTTAGAAATCATCTTCTAATAATTCGTGTATCTCTGTGTGCCCGCCCTTTTCAAGGCGATAGCTAAAAGCGTCAGCTGACGAATCCATAGATTTTTATACTATGATTATTGCATATCGATGATCTCAAAAACGGGTTTGCTTTTTCTCATTTGTGGGTCCTTCGCGCTTGTATTAAGGTTGAATCGAAACAAAGGTCAACCATTAGAAACATTAACGCATTGACTCGTTATGCCCCTTGGACCCGATCACTTTTGCTCTCGGTCATCTTCTCCATCCCGCAGGTCTCAACTAACTCTGTGGTTCGTTATTTGGCCAGTCAAATATTTCGAAGAAGCTTTAAAACTATTCAAAAACATACACCGATCCTTCGTGGCTACCGGCTCCATTCCTTAATTGTTCGCTTCACTCATTTTGCTATCACATCATCAAAACGGATTATTATTCTTATTATTAAATGGCTTTAATCTCTCAGACCGCTGATGTATCAAGTATATCCCGCATCAAAGGCTTAAATTATACAAACTTAAATGGTAATATTGGAAAAACATAGAAAAGCTATATATCGTCACCCAAACACATCGGTGGGACTCGGCCCCCAACCCATTGCGGTGACTAGTCCCTAGAAGAAGCAGAATCTCGCCAAATCTCATAATTGCATTTCAACTATAAATAATGATACTCAAATGAGACTAACCAAAGTGATGGCTAACAACATACAGCGTGCACGTTCACGACAGGCGATTCAACAGAAAATGATGTGAGAAGCCAGATACTTCGCTCGCATCGATTAAAAGTCAGCTAAGCAATTAATCAATTGCTTTTACAGTGATAGCAAGGATGCGAAGTGTCATATTTGACCCATGGGCCATGGCATGGAGGTCACGGCGGCTTCGTGCGACACAAGCGTCGAAGTCCCTTACAGACAGAAAAGAAATATATCCCACGAAGGTTTCTTATGAAAACAGATATTAGAAGAATCAAAATGTATTACTTAGTTGGGGAAAATAAGAAGAATTATAAAAGTCGAAAGTGAACGTGAAGAAGAAAGTTGGGTATTAAATTTAAAAAAAAACGAGTGATTTGTGGGGTAATTATTTTAAAGTGTTTTGGATTTTTACAGGCCATTGTCTTGCAACATTGTCCCTTACTATCTCATTCTTTCAGGACGAACCTTACAAGATAAAATGAGATTACTTTGCAGGATTCCGTAGGGTTTTAAGCATTATCAAGTTTTTTATTATGCAGACGCTCTACTTTATAAAACGCAAAAGATTTTGTAGTAAATTGCACTGAGTTGCTAGCTCATATCTTCATTCGAACTTAAGATAGTTCTCGTAAACGATTGAATGAACCAGGACAGGCTTATCCTACAATTAAGCATTTTAAGCGGCAGACTTTTTTCGTCTGCAAAGCAGACGTCTATAAATTCAATTGACGGTACAGTATATCTATTTTTGCAAGGGCATTTATGGTAGCTGGCCAGCATGCAATGGCTTGTGAATGCCTGCGCAACTTCTGTACGAAAAAAATTCACTTAGCGAAAGCTTTGAACCTTGTTAAGTAAAATAATTTACTTTTATAGATCGCTGTATTCTGTTCAATATAATGTGTGCCAAAACACATTAATAAATAACACACAATAATTAAATACTTAAATCACAACGGCAACTGCTATTAAAGGAATCGAGTGTTTTAGGCGGGACCTTATGAAACACGCATAAACATCGTAGATTTCAATACATGCCCATAACCAAAATACGGATTTCGGCTTGTCCTTTTTCAGTTGTTCCGTGCAATCGCATCACTGGCACCTGCATGTCCAGATATAATTGACAAATATGGACCGACCTGCGAACTATGCTGTGTGCCTCTTCCAGGTTATCTGTGTCCTTATGACTATATTCACAGTTAATTAATTCGCATATATAAGCTATTACATATGAAATACGAGTTACTGTTTCACTCTATCTACGACACGACATCTTGAATAACAACTCTTGCGTTTAGCAGTATGATATCCTGTGGATTTATAAATGTGGTCCGAGAAGACGCTGTTACCCAATGGAGATCTTAATAAATATAATCAAAACGGCGTGTAACAATAGAGGCAAGTGAAAATTAAAAGGGTCAAATTAGATCTTCTATGAAGTGCCTTGCCTGAAAATTCTATAGCGCCAGATATGTTTAGAATCCGAGGATTTTAAATACGGTCAGATGTTACCGCGTTGGGTATCCGTAATTGCAGTAGTCACTATGGTGTTCTAATATATATCTTGCTATTACCCGGGCGTCATTAAGAACAGGTCACCTAAACAGTGAACGCATTCGAAGAGGTTAAACCATAAGGCACGATCTACGAACTCTTTACATCGCCTGTGGAAAGTCTTCAGAATCAAATTGTGTCTTCTCCAATATCAGCGCACATTTACAGGGTCACTGTCATTCTTGCTGGAAGTCACACGCGCAGTCTATGATTCGTCATTCAGCTTACTTATGTCAGCGCTATCTTTCCTTTATCCAGACACGTAAAACTAGTTATTTAACAGCGTATATTGTACAAACTAGCTAGCCTTAAAAGTGGGTGATAATTTCGCTGAGCCATAGTTATGGCTACGATAGTCTATCACTAGGTTTACATTGCAAAGCGTCTTTTGTACAGTGGTCATCTGTAACAGGCTGATTAGCTTGTAAATAATGGAAACGAGGAGTTAAGTTACAGTTCTCGAAATATTCGTTATTTTGTACCCAAGAAAGCTCTTTTAGTTCATTTCTCTCGGTTCGTTCTCGTACATTTATTATAAACACAGTATAATATGTTTTATTGTACTCGAAGTGATCCAAAGCTTCACTATTATAATAAACTAATTTATCTTGCGTTGATAAAGCTAGCAATATAACGTTTATAAGCAAGTTAAAAGATGAAGTTGCTCTTATCATGGTTGGATCGGTTTAATTTAGTCGTCAGTTAATACGTCATTCCTCAAACAGATTAGGTGTCGCGGCACAGTAAATTGCATTGATATATATAACCTCAGTTTCGGGTCGAGTTGGTATCTATAATTTTTGTCTACCCAATTATTATTACGACTGTTGATGCAGTCGTTGAAATTAAATAATTGCACTTTGTTATTACATTACTGAATCACCGGTCATGGTAGAACTGAAGAAGTATTTGGCGCTTATTGACTTGCACAAATTATAAAATATTGTGTCCCGTTATTATTCCATTATTTGAACAACATTATCTGTCTAGTCGATAGTGATCTGGCAAGGGAAATAATTCGAACTAATTCAGCGTCAGAATGTTTAGGAGAGAGCGACTTTGATAATCGGGACGAAATAAACTACCTCTGCCCACGGTTCTACTACGCTTAATGCGATTTTAGGTGAACTCAAATCTTTATCTGCTAACAAAGGTTAAAGGCATGATTTTATTTAAACTTTTGACGAGTCAGAAAGGTGAAACAGATTTATTATTACTGACCGATTTTATTTTTAGGGGGCGATTCATTATTATAGTGATGTTTCCACGGGCGGCACAAGACCCATGGAACGGCACGTATATTCCTAGATATCAATGAGTACCTACTGACGAAAGCATTTTTTATTTTTCACTATTTTAAAGATTATGAACTTAAGCAGAGAAATGATGAAGTTCTAATGAAAGTAAAGCGCATTGTCGCTGATATTGTAAATAAACGCCCTCTATAGCGCTTTCCAAGCTTATGGGGAGGTTACGTAACCCTGTGGGAGACAAAGCGGAAACTTCCTTAATAATTTTATTTTAATATCTTTCTGCACTTTTTTTCTATTGCCACTTTTATAAATATGCATTAAGCTCGCAACGTCTATTTAAAAAAAAAGGCGTATCATTTAGAAGGATTGGTAGGACTTTGAGTAATGCTATTGTGTTTTTTTTAAGAAAATCTTTTCTAAACGTTTAGTATTTATTTGCGTTAAAATAAATAATAGGATCTAAAAGAAAACACATTGCGCGGCTAGCTTACCCGGTCGTAACGAATCAATCACCATTAGATAATCCTATATAATAAAACAGCAAGATGGCGCAAACATAGTGGTGCGTGAATCATTTCTGAATATTCCGCTTTTTTACAAATTATTTTATACAAAAAACTTGGCTGAGTAACAATTAGATTTTTTCAACTAGAATTTAGTTAATCAAAATATTTTGTAGTGTGAGGGATCTAGAAGCCCAAAATAGACTCCTTGCCAATTATTCGTATGATTGGCGCTGGATGGGCAATTTCCTATTTACAAGCTTGTCTTTACGCGTATACTATATATGTACGTGTATAATCGTTTTCCACTAGCACAAGGTAACTATAAAGATTAAAACGTTGAATTCCAAGATTTATCTGTTGTATCGTTAGGTCCATCATTACGGCTAACATTACAGATAAAAAGCTTCGATTATCTCGCCGAAATTTAAGACTCTTGCGAACATTATATCTTCAATGATAGTCGGTCGTTATCAATTCAAACGTTTTTGGCTACATTATAATGTACAGAAAAAATAAGATGGCACTGGGAAGTAATCTAATTAATGAAAGAAAGTATCAAAAAACTTCAGTAAAATTTTAAATAGTACCTTACATACGACCAAAATGGGCATCTGTTCAGCTAAAATCACGAAATAAGTCTACTCTCCATTTCGATATATAAAAAAGATTTGTTGAGCCTTCCGCAGTGTATTACCGGCTAAACATATCAAGTCCTTTGGATGATCGGTATACAGGACGGAGTTACTTAGTTGTTAACAATAGAAATTATATATATTACACACCCTTATAAACTGGGTAGCTTAGGTACACTCTATGTTAATTGAAAAAGGCATCAACACATCCTTACAGGATAGATTGAGGAGTACGTTTGTTGGACGCCTCAGGTTCTTTATGACGCGTGTTTACAAGGCACGTTGATATCAAAGCAAGGAAAGCTCTAGCCAGGAACACGGTCATCAGTCCAGTATGTGCAGCTTCAGCTATCATCATCCATCGCTTCTTAGGTCCAGCAGGCCATTTATCAGCACTGAAATCACTCTTGAACGTCATACGCGAATAGGCCTTCCACATAACGTTCCACAAAGCCAAACTGACGTAACGTCCCTATGGCGCGCAAAGTGCCTTGGACGAAATGATCAACCTCAGGGCAGCCACTCCTCTGTTTGTCTTTAGTAAAATGCTCGTTTAAGTAACAGATTCATGAGCGAATCAGACATCTGAATTATCACTACAGAAACAATGGCTGGCGATATGGTTGAGTAACGCAACTCACGACATCACTTTTAAGTGAGCTATAAGTAATAAAAAAGACATATATCCCTGTGCGCTTGCTGCACTCGTAATATTATTATATCCAATATAATCCCATGGTGAATGATTTATGATAAATTTTAAGATATTGTACTTTTTGTGCTTTTTCATGAGGTTCATGCTAAGATAATCGTATATATGTACACATATCAATTTCTATTGAATCGCATGAAGTCATACCTTAGGTATATAGAAATTGTGTGACATATGATTAAGAAAAGCTTTTATTAGTTGCAGCACACACGGTACATCATTGCCTGCAGTATTCGTTGCACAAAGAACGCCTTAAGTCAGCTATACAGTGACTGTTACGCTATTCTCTGAGAATTATACCATTCCCCATACAAAGTAACTACGATAAGAAAAGGTAATTGGCTTTTCTGATGCGCGAAAATAAATTCGGCCATCTTTCGTCGTGTCAGTAACATAAACTTGATAAAATCATACAATACCCTTAATATGAGTAAATATATTCGTCTAAAATTACAATTCCCTATAGAATGAACGCCTAAACAGTAAGCAAATACACAGTACTTGCAAATGGCCAAACAATACATCTACGTCTTACGAAGATGATTTCTCGACTAAGTAATGTCCCCATAAACCACCCACTTCAGCTTCGCGCCATCGAGAAATGACACGAAGATGTGTAGAGAAATCAGAAACATTGTCAGATGTCGATCAACAATCGGATACTCATACAAAGGAGTAACTTTTTACGATCACTGTATCGCAGTAGAGGCAGAAATGTAAATCAGACTTTGCATTGCATGGGGATTGCTTAGCTGCAAACTTTCAGACGCGTTGACACCGTAAGCTCCGGCGTAGAACGGCATCTTCTTTGCAGTTTCTACAAGCATTTTAATACTCCTGTAAAGAACTAATAAAACGAGGGTAGCGCTAGGTAACACGGAACCTAAATTTAGTTCTTCTGTATATAAGCTGTGTGATGGCAGGTGCTTTTATATTGCTTAGAGGCCATTTATACAGAGAAAAACAAATGTCATAAGGGTATAAGCGTCATTTTGTCTACTTTCAAATCGGTTTTGCATTTATTGCCGCCATAATTTATTAAAAAGTTATGCTCGATATAATATACGTATTTCTGTTATTTGTAACATGTAGCTGTCAGCAAAACTCTCGTATTATTACAACAAGGTCAAATTAATCTGAAGCTAGGAGTCAGTTCAGTCAAGAGAAGTAACCGATCTCAACAGAAGAATAAAAGCGACATTGTTTTTCATAGATCGATTTTTTTGCTTTCATCATTTTATATGAGTTATAATGAGTTCCTTAAAGCAACATCTCCAAGGATGGTAACTCCATATGAGTCCTTTAGGCATTGTCCCATTTGGCCCCTAGTGTAGACAAGAAAGACTGCGTCCTATGGCTGTCATGAGGAGGCCAGAGGGGGAAGTTGTCAATCGCTTCAGACTGAGGGTTGGCCTAGAAAAAAATTATGCACAGTACGTCAACATTGATTGTTTAGTCGAACAATTTTCATTTTCTACCGTCTTTTCCTACAATAATTTGGTATAAGGCTTGCAAAAAGCATAGCGACGGCTGAAAAAAATGTGAGTCAAGAACAGGAGTTGGGGTAATAATAATTTTTTGTTGTTTTATTTTTCGTGATTTATTGATAATTTCTAAGTATTATTATTATTATTATTATTATGTGAAGAAGAATTTGCAATTGCCTATTTTTCGGTATGACTTGCTTCCAATAGGAGTCTAACTGGGCCAGGTCTTGCTAAACGTTGGGGTCTTTCCAAGCGACTTATGAAGCGGCATAGCAACCCTACAAGCAGCTTCTCACCTTAATAATAATAACTCAATTATCAATAACACTTTATTTTCTGATTATTAATATCAGGTGCTAGTCTTCGTCAGCGTCCAAATCTAAAGCCGCGTAGCGTGCGCGTCCTTATCACAGTCAATTAAGCAGTGTCAACAATTACCCTATCAATAGTAAAATTGTTCTAACATTTTTTTTTCGAAACATGTTCTCTATCAAAACTATAATTGAACCACTCTAAGAAGTGAGCGGTGCAATCCGTGGTTGTCGCAGTGTTCCCGAATAACCCTCCTCTACCCTGGTGGTTCTCCAACTAATTTTTTCATCGAGCATACAGCCTCCTTTTGCTATAGCAGTCAGTGATTTCTATCACATCTTGAACTCTTCCGTCTTTCTTAATGAAGCCGGCATTCCCGACCCCGTTGCAACGAATAGGTTCAGCAGGACCTTGTAACGTCAAGCCATCGTGTACGCCAGAACACTCTTCTGCGCTCTGCAAGTTAACGCTTAAGTTGTCGTTTCTTAAATTACGCACCGTCAGGACAGCCAGTGTTCGAGGCTCTTTCGGAGAGACTAGTGCATTATCTGCTGATGAAAATACTAATTCGTTACCACCCAAATAACGACCTTGGCAAAAGGCATCTTTTTATATATATATCGGTAAAGCTATTAAGTAGTTCGTCGGGATGCCTACCCCAGTTAGGGGTACATTTGCACGCCCAAGTCCATTCGAAGAGTCAACCATGAACGATTTAATCAGCTGAATGCGGTATTGCTAGGTCAATTATTCCTGACAATATTCTATAGTACACAGCTTAGGTAGGAGGAACGAAATAGTGTTTATAATGAGCCATGTCTGGCAATAAACCAGTTACCAGCCAATATCTAATAAAAGCAATGACTTTTAAACGTGCGTAGATTGAAAGCGAACCTGTTATCCAATGGGCCAACGTACAGATGGACATAACTAAAAATATATGCATATAAGATAAACAACAAGTCAACTCGTTAAGTTTCGAACTTAACGAACTGTCTTGACAAAAAACTTTGTACTGTTACAAAATTTTTCGTAATATGCAGTCGTCGAATATTGTTTTATATAATAGACTTGTTTGTACATAATAACTGATTTGACCGAGGACCGATTTAATCATCAACCTGTTGTTGCTCTACCAAAGTTTGCAATGCGTTCATTTATACTTTAGGACTATAATTAGATGAATCGAAATAATGGTTGTTTATTTACTTGTTATTACAAAGCTGCGCAAATCGGGGCTTGAATTGCTGAATTGGATCTTTTCCATTACACCGCTAGGCAGACTGGAGTGGCGAAATCCCAACTGGATGAATTGCTTTTAACAATATAGAGTTCGATTTTTCCTCACAGCCGAGGAACGTTGGCATTGGCACAACAATTGTCTATTGCTGACAAATGTAATTAGGCATATTGTGCCCAACAGTTCCATATGAGGAAGCCGTTTATACTACTTAGAACGAAACTTTTGCTAGCGACCCAATTTAAGCGCTAACTACCAGCATCATGTTGTCCCCTTCCCTTACCCTGTCGGGGCAGAAACGTGCTTGCCCACCATGTGCATTCGACATTAAACAATTTCATAAGTCAACATTTAAAGAAATTTTTATTAACACACAGTAACCAAGTAAGTTCGCAGGCTGCGATCAATCAAAAATCACATAACGGTCTCAGTACTCTTTAAATACGCTTACACAGAAGATCTGAGGATCCGGGAGTGATGAATACGTATATTACGTTATTAGAACGTCGCTAGTAGTACTGGTTTTCAGTCGATTATTTAAGAGCATCAAAGATAGTTTGCGCAAACAAAATTCGAATACAACTGAATCTTACATTGTTATACATTGAGTGAAGTTTTTTATTCACTACCCTAACAATTGTACAATGAATTAGGCGTCATCACTGTGAAGCAATAAAATGGACGATTTATTTACATTGATTTATTCAACTTCCAACCTATATTTTGTTGCGTTCAGTCCTCCATTCTTTCTCACATGCATTCTTTCCGTCACGATTCCACCTATTCGTAGATTTCAGCTTGCAGCTTGGTCTTTACCCTAACTTTGCTCTAATCCGCCAATATTTAGTTTATTCGGTACTTGGCGAAATTTTACACAATTAGACTTAGACGTCCGATGTCCTGATCAGCTCTTTGTCCTTTCAGTCTATTTCCTGTCGATTCACATGCTTGTTCCTCCATTCCCGAATCGCATTCTGGGCTGTCTTATACATATGGATAGATATATGTGTATATATCTTTATACATAGCAGGTATCTTCCATATGCCTGTTCAACTGGTTATATTGTTCGCCATAAACATGATCCTGCCAGCTCGGATTTGGAACGATTTGAGCCCATCACGCGTAGCACAAACCCATTACATCGAAGTGTTAAAAACTGTCATACACTTCACTTATAATAATATTTGTTGTTGTTATTATTATTTGAGATAAGGCACCTAAATCGGTGCTGTTTCCACTCTGTCTTCGTATTGGAAAGCGTCATGAAATTATATTATCATCTAGCCTGTTTCGCTATTACACGAAAACTCCGCCCAGATGACTGCTGCCAGAAACTCAGATGACTGCTGGAACTGCCATGTGGAATTATACAAATCACCTTTTGTTTTTCATAGGGGCGATACTTCCGTACCTACGCTATACTGCTAGTTGTTTGCATTTAAGTTCCAGGCCACCGAATTCTTGACTTTTGCTTGTCTTCTACTTCCGAGTGGCGCTGTACCACTTTTGTTCCCCGCCAAAAACAACTTAGCTCTGGCATTCGCTAGCATAAAACAGATAAAACAAGAAATCAAGCCTTAGAGCTTGCGGTAATTCTTATTCGCTTGATGGATACTTCAGACACAAAGATATCATTAACAGACCTGACCTTGAAAGTCTTCAGCGAAACTGCTCGAGCCACAGACGTCCCGTCCTATCCGTCCGGTGTCGTTCATAGTTGTAGCCAGCTCTTCATTAACCCAATAATTTCGAAGTTACGTCTACGAGCTACTGTAGTTTAGTAAATTCTATGCAACTGGGTCAAGCAAACAATTCTAACGAGCTTAAAGTATCTGTTTTATGCGTAGCTCTATTGCTTGCTGTATAATTGCCTTGTATTTGCTAGAGCAGTGATTTTACATAACGAAACGTCCACTATTGTCTACATAATTTATTATTACTACTATGATGATTATTGCCTGTAGTTCGTTATTCATCTTTAGCCCCTAGAGTAACGTTGTTTTGTTGCCTCCGAGAGTTTGTGTATATGGACCCGATGCCCGTTCGCTAGTAAAGTCCCGCGTTACTTCAACATAATTTTGCCTGGGAAACAAGTCGATTATCTACATTAGACTTCCTTTTGAGTTCTCCTCCTTTGATTCTTCGACCCATTACTTTCCATGTTCTAATGTCGGCGTTACCGCAAGCACACAAATCGTTATGACGTGAACAAAGTATAACTCGTAGTAAATATCCACAAGATTCTTTTGAAATACTCCTTGTTATTACACGATGCCTTCGCTTCCACGGACAATCATGGACATTTTTCAATGGCTGACCTGATGATTAATAATTCTAGTAGTTTTATTAGTCACCGAATCTGTAAATGCGAGCGAGCAGGAACGGCCACAGGTAAGTGGATACACCGGCTGGGGTGCAGGAAAAGCCGTCGCGATTGCAGTACGCATTTGCCTATTCAAGGCGCAGCCTTAGTCGCCTATGACTGACTAAATGCTACAAGGAGTTTATATTAATAATGTCCTTTTGTCGACCACCTGTCGTACATGTAACACAAAATAATGGAAATGAGTTCCGGACGGAGGACTCACACAAAATGCCTTGGTGTTGGTGAAATCTGCCGTCTATCGCTCTATCACTCTTGTTTAACGCACTACGAACTAGTCATCTGCACTTCATTTTCATAATGTCGTTACCTCTATGTACAGAGGCAAATCTTCCTATGAACGCGGTCTCGTAAATTATATTTTTCCATGATTTTCACATTAAATTACCAATTTTAGTTGGAACAGCTCAACAAGCCGGCAACGGATACAAATTGAATAACAGTAGTGAGTGAGAGTCGCATAGCCGTCTCAGTTAATCCAGCGGTTTGTTTCCCAGCGACATTAGTTATCGACGCTCGGTAAGCAACAACTTTTCATCGATAGTGATCGATTATGACTGTAAACACAAAATCTAAAAGGAACGTAAGTACAGCAGTGGTATTCTACCACCATTAACTACATCTTTGATCCGCTTTGCCATCTCCTATAGGCAACTGTTGGTTGGCCATTGGCAAGCGTTCATTTATAAACTTTATATTGGATATCTTTGCCATTGCAATGGGATGCTTACGTTCTTCCTAATTTCGTAGATCGGATGGTACCGTCAGGTCACTCGAAAAGGATCTCGTCAACCGTTAACAAACAATGCATCTGGCCATAAAACCCGCCGCCACTCGAAACATGACGCGATACGGGGGCCGTTCGGGCATTTGTTTGTTTTTGCTTGTGTTCGTTTTATCTGTGACTACTTCGGTTTGTCTGAAGTGTCTGAGGTTTGGCCGAAGAGTCCGCCGCCAGCCTGCGCTTATGGCTCATCCCATGCTCCAATTGATTCTCAGACAACATTTATGGTTACATTGATACCTAGGTTGCCGTTATCTGCGAAGAACTTGGCGACAGAGGTGTCAAACACGAGGCAGTCGTTGTTCATAATAGCGGATTGAACGCCTTCGTGAATCGATCGGGGCGTGGCCTCCCACGTTAAACGACGTTTGTTTCCATTGAGCTCAAGCCTGCAAAATAACGCAGCCACATTTTGTTAGACCGTAATGTCGAAACTGTGGTCACAAGTATGAGCAATCTCTCACGAATGGCCGAGATTGTGGATGGCGTAATAATGTTCGAAGTTCAAAAGTCAAATTTTGTCATACATTTGCCGTGTATCGGTGAATGGAGATGGGGAAAAGCTATTTGAAACCTGTTTTATCTGGTCGTACCTGTATACAAAATTCTCGGCCTGTTTCCTTGATCCGATGATTTGGACAATGGCAAAGAACTGTTGATATCCTTCATATTTCTCCTGTTTTTCAAGGACAAGCATAAAGTGCTGTCCAAAGCATGACTGCATCATGACCCAGTCAACGGCTCCAGGTAAGTTGATATCCGTTGCCAAGAAAACAATATCCTCGCCTGAGAACGCAAACATTTAGCGAAAAACCATACACTGGTTACAAAAGTCTCACCTCTATTTCGACTAAATCACATTTCGCAGGAGTGTTTCGTGAGATCTGCGTTCGTTACACAGATACTCACGTTTTGTGACTTCGAAGGCTCATTAATTTAGACAAAGACAACATCATTTCTTATTGTAGTTAAGATTTTCATTCGGAAAATTGACGCAGTGATAAAATACAGTGCATTGCTAAAGAGAGAAATATCTAAACGCGGATAATTGAATTAAGTAATTGCCGTTTTAGAAGGACAGGTATTCTGTGCTAAAATATTACGCCCAATATAAACGCAGAGTTTCTTTATTGGGGTGCACCCGCTAGTGTTTTGTCCTACTACCGCTACCAACAAATGTAGTATTCCCTAACCAAAAAGGAAGACAATGTAGAGCGCTTTCAACGGTCTTCGCCTCTTGACTCGATCGCCCTATGCTACCTTACCTTGTAACGTCGTGATTGACTTGTGCTGTTGCGTGAGATGCGCCATAACCATATCAAGCGAGCCAAGCCACTTGCACGAGGCGCCTGGACAAGGGCAACTATACGGGCGAAACTCGCAGACCTCTTCGTGACCGACTTTCTCAGCGTGACTCAACAGATGGTGACATCCATTTGATTGAAACTTGCACGGAAACGACACCGAGGCCGCTACCTGTATCATGATCACAGTTCATTTATGATAAGAGAAAAATAGAAGAACGAAATTAGACTTCAGTCTAGCAATAGGTTTTAGCGGCTCAGGTTAGGGACTTTAAGGATATATACATTTTTATGGAATCTTCCATATCATTTGGTTGGCTCACTGAGGTTCACAAAGTACGATTAGGACAGAAGACTCCACCTACTCGCTAAATTTCTATCTTTTTACAGTGCCTACTAGGAAAAGATGTCCGGACATATCTGCTGTCAACTACAGAAAGCGGTACAATCTTAAGTAAACTTTGATGATTTCACGATTGTCGTTTTTATACAGTGTGTTCGCTGCGTACCTTTTCCATAGCCAGATTGCGAATATTGCCGATTGGCGCCCTGCAGGTGGGACAGCACGAAAGCTTCTCCCGACATACACAACAGACAAGATGACCATTTTGACACTGTAGTATCGGTGGAAGGACATAATCAAAACAAACGGGACACTCAAACAATGCGGCAAGATGTGTGCTGGATGGCGAACCCCCAAGCGCTCCAGCACCGGCTACCCCTAAAGCACCGGCGTTCCCGACGCCACCCCCGGTCCCGGCAGTACCTCCGCATCCTCCTGCACCACTCCCGTTGCCGGAACCTAAGGGATTGTTATTTGATGCGGACGCTGAGCCGCCTCCACAAGTTGACGGCAGATTTTGGTTGATTGGAGTGGCCGCTGAAATGAAAGTGTGGAAAGTTCTAATTTTACGTTGTATAAATAAACTAAATACTAACGACCATATATATGTATGATGTTGGAGCCCATCTCGATCATAATAATCTAAAAAAAAAATCGACTACCGAACTTCCTTGCTAATAAAAGCGGCCAACGTCTCAGGTTGCACACTGTATAGTACACAACAATGGCCATCACATATATGCACACGCTGCAAACTATAGTCCCTTATTACGCACCTCTCCCAATGACGGTTGCTTACTGGCGATAAATGTTCGCCCTATCCCCTCAGCAGATCTGGCTAGATTGCATCAAATTACTTTCGGGTAGATTAAAACGTACGCAGTCACAAATTAACATTATTCATAGAATCTGTGTCACCAGTGACGAACATGTTGCTAACGGCAATATTTTGTCACGGCTCACTTGTGTCACGTAAACAACAACACTTCACAGTGCTTGGCATGTAGGCATTGAAATGTACGGTCATACCCTCTTACCGAAATCACGGCTTACTGCCGGCTACGTTCACAATGTGTAGCACAATTGTGATAGTAATAATCATAATATTATAAAAATAAAGATATATTTATCTGCTTCACCCTGTCCAGTTATGCTTTAAGGTGGCTTTGATTTGCATTCGAAAAGAGTGCTTCATCTGTCGTTATGTAAGGCACACGTATCCCTGCCTGGTATCGCGTACGATTGTTTTCCTTGGAGTTTCGTTACTGATTGATGACTGCGTCTCTGAACGCAAAACGCTTTGTCTGCTTTGATTACGGCTGTCTAACCTCCTCTTTGATTCGCTAGACTTTGGTAACCGTCGACACTAGACTATTGCGTCGCGCTATCGAACCGTGGTCTGGCCAGATAACGCGGATCTGTTCGATCACGAATTCTAAGATGTTCAAGTGAGATCGATGCATATATTAATCCTGTCGTAATTGAAATAGTCTTTGTTACATGTTCTACAAAAAGAGAACTGCGATATCAAAAAAGACAAGGTCACCTAGATCTCAGCAAGGGATTTTTTTGTATTGATTAGGTTAGTCAATTGTCCATCGCAAATGTCAGAAAATGATTGCAGTTTGAGAATGCTATCTAAATCACACATTAAAAAGATTTTTTTTCTTTATTTTTACTATTACGGCAGGGTACCGTTTTACAGTTCGATAAGGTTATGAAAAAAAAAAATTATTTTTGCTTAGGTGAGTAGTTTTATTCACTACCCCAACAGCTCGCAAATAACTACATGTACATTATGCATACGTTTGATTTCTATTATCAAAATATTCACTCATTTATCGTTCTATTTACAATCAACCATCACTTTGGGTAGGTAGCTGCGACTGCAGTTTTCTAAAATCCTCGTGAATGTTACTGTTTTTGGTGTCAAGGCTTGCTAGGCCGATAATCAGAGCCCAACAGAACGCAAGCCGTTTACCATCAACCACTCTGCTGTAACAGATGGGGGGGGGGGAGGTCAATCAATCGTCCTGTCGTCCATTCAACTTCTTAATTATCGTCGCCCGGTCTGCATCATTCGTTGTGAACTTCGCTTTATTATACCGATTTTTCGAACGGCTAGACGCTTGCCTGTGCGTCCACGATATGTTACGCGCTGTCGGCAGGTATAGCTCTTTATTATTTAATTATAGTAGATCCTGCTGCGGGAAGGCGCGAGTCGAGGTCAGCACTAGGTCCCGCTTTGGCATACAGCAACAGCAATGGCAATGGCAGGCGCGATAGAACTGGTCTAATTTAATCACTGGCCAATAAATTGTATGCTAGCTTCTATTACGGACGGTGTCGATGTCCTGATCTATCGGGGCCGATGTTGAATCTGTGTGTTACACCAAGTATATTGATGGAAAACAAAGCCTTTCGGCGGTAGAGAAACAGTCGTGGCAGTAGTGGTTGACTATGGGCAGCGTGTCCGGCAATGGCGATGTTTCTTTTCCTGTAGCCCTGCGCAGAACCTTCGAGACTTCTATGAACCGACTTACGATGATACTTGTCCATCCATGTTAGTTTATTCACGTACAGATTAAAGTTGGTTCGTATACGTGAATAACGCATTACCAATGCAAATGCCACAACGACGCATACGAAGGCAAACAAAGGCACCGAAGAAATGAGGGAAAACCGATTTTGAGGAGCGAATCCTATCGGATTAAAGTTCAATATCTGAAACGCTACACACGCTAAGTAAACGCTTACAATAACGCAGGTTGACCGTGTAGTAGAAGTAGTATCAAAAGCTTTAATTTTCCGTTTAAACGATGTGTATGCTGCCCTGATAACTTTGACAAACTTAATCATATAAGGTAGGTTGATGCTAGCCTAAAACTAAAACCCAGCAATAAGACTCCTTTCTTATCTATATAGAGAAATTTATTGTTTACTCAACTTTCGTTGATTAAGCTATAAGTCGAAATGTGTTGTCCATTATTGTTTTTGTTGTTTTGCGAAAATTTCATATTTTGAGTACTTTAGTTCCAACTTGTGAGAGATCGCTACTATTATCAGACAATAAAAGTAATATTAATTGATTAATCAGCATTAATGATAAAGCAAAAAGATCAAATGCACAGTGGTGGGCCAGATATTCTAGCCTTCTTGGCCCATTTGTTCCTGTTCTGTATCGTCACAGGTTTGACCTCTTCTCTACCATCTTATTACGAGCACGCAAGATGCTTCAATCGGTTCTCAAAGTTCGGACTGGATTCATCTTAGCGCTAACATTTAAAATTGGAAATAACCTAATGAACGTTACACCAAACAAACACTTTGTTGTTATATATAAAGGTTCGGATGTCTAGTCTCAACGTTTACATCAGGCAGAAGATGCTTTATTAATCAAATTTCTTCATTGAGCAACAACGAAAGTATACGCCATTACCGAATATATATTTGTATAGCTAAATAGATTTGCCCAATGACTGTTGGCGTGCTTGAGGCAACTGGTTTCTATATCCATACATTTGTTTACGATATACCCACTAGCTGAAACGACCCCGCCAAGCATTAACCTGAGAATTTTGTACAATGTGTAGCTCGGCTATGACACGCGCGTTAAAGTGTCATACTCCGCGGGCTTCTTTCTGGGCCGTCAATAACAAGGTCAGAGTGTACCCCAGCCTTGCTGCGCGTCGATAGATTGTTCTACCTAATTTGATGGGTTCCCGTGGCCACTTTTGTTTCAGAAACTAATGAATAATATCTGACTAGGTCACCGTGATTCTGGCATTAACATCACACTAATTATTACTATATATTAGTGGCATTATTACGCAGCATATAAGCGGCAATTGTTATAATAGAGCAAATATCCATGATACAAATCTATCACAACGCATAGTAGATATCTCCCGAATAACATTGTTTTTAATCCGTCCTCATACCTTCCAATTCGTCAAATGGACAGGAACTGCCCAATCGTATCAAATGCCAACAATTATGTGTATGATAGGCACTAAGTATTTCGCGTAGGTGGGCGTTAAGCATGTTCACTTGATGGATAATTAGGACAGCGTCCTAACTAATGTGGGCTACGCTAGCTGATCTGGCACAACCCATCGACTTTGGGATTGATCACACGGGCAAGAAAGAAGCCAGATATTTATATGCATACATATGAATACCTAGGGTGCGACCTATCCGGAGTTTTTCTAATGCTTTTTTTCTAAACAGGGACACAACTCAACGATTTTTTCGCGCGTACCAAAAATGACATTTCGAATGGTCAAGATTATTCGATATAAGCACTACTCGCTGCAATCACACCTTCAAATTAAGACTCGTTTACTTACCATTTCCAAAGTACTTCCGTCTTTATTTCGCAAATTATTATAATCATGCGTCAAACAATATGGCTGCCGCAAACTCGCTGAAATATCCCTGACATATACACCATACAGAAAAACTAAAAAATTGACCAAAAGGGGGCCAAATCTTCCAAAGATGCAGTCAAATGGGCTGTAATAAAGTCCAAAGAGTGCAAAAAGGTTACAGTTGAAACAGACTCAATTGCTAATTGATAATTTCTCTCCAAAACGCCTCTTAATTTCGGTACAAACAGTTCAGGTGTATGTTCAGGAGCCCTTTTAGAATTTTTATGTTTCAAATTTAAACCCCATTAAGGATCTTCGAGTTTACCTATGAAAATCTTTGTTGATCCTTTAGTAGTCGAATAAAAACTTGCAACATTAAAAAAATGGTAAGAAGTTTTTAGCCTCGTTAGCGCTTTGCCCAACACAAATAGATTAGATAATAGCTCATCGCATTGTTTTTCGCCAGGAGTTGTCACTCTAAAAAGGGCTGGTCTAGTTCTGGCACTAGAGGGAGCGGATGAAGACGTGCCTGCCGCGGCAATATCCTGTTGAGGTTTATCCGGATACACAGCAGTCGTATATTTATGAATGCTTAGGAGCAAGTAGTAAACAACCAATATGAGCATGCCAGTCGTTTCAGTTTTCGGACTTTCTTTCGCGCTAAAAGAATATCGCAAAATAAGTCACATAGCGTCTGCTAATGTCGTCTACAATCTTCGAAAAAAAAACCCGTCACGATGCAGACTTACCAGCATCAAATCAAGTTAGTATCGTTAGCAGATTAGCAAAAAACAATAACATTTTAGCAAAACTTACCTCGCTTGGATCACATGAGCTCGGCACGAAATTCCCTGAAAATTCAAGTGTTTCAACACCAGCCAACGGAAGCTGACTAAAAAATTAGCTTTTAATAGAAACGCTACACTGTGGGAGAAAATGTCTTATTTAAATGAGCAGAACTAGTATTGGTTGTCTATTCTTGAGATAAAATAAGTCTGGCAAGATCCCATTAGCGCTGGATTTTCACTCACAGCTCTAACGGGACGACCCCCTGCTTGATTAATATGAAGCTACCGACAGGTCATTGCCACCGTATTACTAGCTAAGGTGTATCATATAACATTAACTAACAGGATTCGTGAATATTCGTTACCAACCACTATTTTA